TACGAATCCAATCCCCTCCTCCTCCTCCTCCTCCTCCTCCTCCTCCTCCTCCCCTCTCCACAACAGACACCCTGTGAAGTAGGTGGGGCTGAGAGAGGTCTGAGGAAACTACCCTTGAGAGAACAGAAGAGGAAGATGAATAGATTAAGGAGATTGGATTTATACCCCGCCCTTTATTCAAAGTCTCAGAGCAGCTTTCAAACCCCCTTCTCTTCCCCTCCCCACAACAGACACCCTGTGAGGTAGGTGGGGCTGAGAGAGCTCTGACAGAAACTGCTCTTTTTCAAGGACAGCTCTGACAGAACTATGGACTGCCCAAGGTCATCCAGCAGCTGTAAGTGGAGGAGTGGGGAATCAAACCTGATACTCTCAGATAAGAGTCCTCGCACTGAACCCAGTACCACCTTAAAGGCTAACAAAATTTGTGACAGGGTTTGAGTTTTCGTGAGTCACTGCTCCCTTCCTCAGTGAGCTTTTTCTCAAAGTGAATGTTTCTCTCACCGAGTTAGTTCCAAAGAAACTCTTTGAGGCTTAAGAGAAAACCAAGATGGGTGTGGTTATACAATCAAATCTCACGCTTGGAGACAACCAGGTATCTCTTGGTTCCCTGGGGCAGGGAGGACAAATTTGTTTTCTCTGTGTAGGATACATTCAAAAGAACAGAATAAGAAATGTTAGGGAGGAGCGCTCAAACTATTCGCCACATTATGCAGCTCTGAAATCTTGGGCATAGTAAAAATTGGGGAACAGGAACAGATGGGTTATAGGGATCCTGGTTCAAGTCTAAGGCCTGCCTGGACAAGGCCATTGGGCAAGCTGGCCTGCTATTGTAATTGGGTCACTTTATTGGACAGAGAATCTCTTTGGACTCAGTAAGATTTGCTTCTCTGATTAGGACTGGGCTGCCGGTCACACCCAGCTCCTCATTTGTAAAGTGGGAAGAGAGTAGAGGATTTTTGCTCACAAGACTCCACAGCTTAGAGGGAGCATTGCTCACCACCCAGTCATCTGCATCTGCTTGGCGTGCAGAAGGTCCCAGGTTCAATCCCCGGCATCTCCAGTCAAAACGGACCAGGCCGTAGCTGATGTGAAAGACCTCTGCCTGAGACCCTGGAGAGCTGCTGCCGGTGTGAGTAGACAATCCTTATCTTGATGGACCGAAAAGGTCTGATTCAGTATAAGGCAGCCAGTTTGGTGTCGTGGTTAAGTGCGCGGACTCTAATCTGGGAGAACCGGGTTTGATTCCCCACTCCTCCACTTGCACCTGGCTGGATGACCTTGGGCAAGCCATAGTTCTGTCAGAGCTGTTCTTGGAAAAAGAGCCGTTTCTGTCAAGAGCTCTCTCAGCACCACCTGCCTTCCAGGGTGTCTGTTGTGGGGAGGGGAAGGGAAAGGCCGCTCTGAGACACCTTTGGGTAGTGAAGGGTGGGATATATATCCAATCTCCTCCTCCTCTTCTTCTTCTCTGTAAACAAGGTCAGGATACTGCAGCAATAAAAGAATTATTCCTAACAACTAAAAAAAGTCACAACCACTGTTCTTAGTCTCAGAACTCGACTGAAACTCAAGTTGCTATAGTAGCAGAGCAGGAGTGAAATAGTTCCGGCAGTTGGCATGTATTTAAGAAAACATCTGAAAAGGCCAGAAAACGGAAAAACACGGTCAGAGACAAATGCATGAGTCATGCACACTGCATGTGCTGCCGTAGGAACCAATGACTAGAAATTTCCAGTGGATTTGGTTCAGCATCAAAAAGACCTGGTGGTAACTGCGGTTCTGGAAAGAGAAGGAAAGAACCGAGAGAAACTGTGAAATGGTATCTATGGCTGGAACGGCTGGTCCATATACTGCCCTTTCCAGGTTCTCAAGTGGGGCTGTATGACACCATTGACTGTGTGTCTTCAACTCCCCATTCCAAATTAGTCTCTCCCTAAGCAAGAAGGTTGTGTTAGTTAGCTGGAGAGGTTCATTAGTGCAATTTGTTCCATTGGATTGATTGACTGCTCCAAAGGGATTGAGCAGATTTCTCTTCATTTGAGGCAGAACTTTTTCATGATTGGACAGAAGAACCAGCCTTTCAGGGGATTAATTTTTCGACAAGTGCATTTGTGACCTTGCATGAACTCAGGTGAATCATTCTTAATATGAAGCTTTGCTTGTTGTCTGCTAGTGACGTTTTCCATCCTGGAGAACAGCCGTACCTTTCCAGCAGAGCATAATATTTTACTTCTGGAGGTTTTTTTGTCATCTTCTGGGCATGGAATAGCAGTCACTGTGTGTGTGTGTGTGGGAGATATTTCTGAATTTCCTGCATTGTGCAGGGGGTTGGAGTAGATGAACTTGGAGATCCCTTCCAGCTCTATGATTCTATGATTCTACTTCAAGGTCCGTGCCATGTCCTGGGCTTGTGCAGGGGGTTGGAGTAGATGAACTTGGAGATCCCTTCCAGCTCTATGATTCTATGATTCTACTTCAAGGTCCGTGCCATGTCCTGGGCTATTGAAATGCCAGACAGGAGATTATGAGCGAGGCTTTAGGCCCTATGGCAGATATAAAAGCGGACATACTTCAAAGCAAAATTGATACGATCTATACGTTGTATTCAGATTTTACAAGAAAGAATAATCTGCCAGGGGAAGTTATTATAATATTCTCCAGAAGACAAGTGAGAGATCAAATTCTCAAAGCGACAAATGGAACCACATTGAAAGTCAAGGACAAAGAAATAAAAGTGTTGAAGGACATCCCATTTGAAATAAGAAGGAAAAGAAGAAAATACAGAGACTCGGTTTTATTTCTACAGAAGAACAACATCCCCTACAGATGGGTTGTAACCGAAGGCACAATCTTCAAATTTATGGACAAGAAACAAAAAATTGACTCTTGAAAAGGCACATGAATTTCACAATGTTTTGTTATAAGTAATTCTTTTATTACTCTTTAAGAAGTCAGATACAATGGTGTTCAAATTTTTACTTAAGTATTAATAGATTATCAGATGACCACATTCAATGAATTGGAATCAAATGTTGAGTTAAAAGCTAACTTAAGCAGTATGTATGACCACCATCTCTTGGGTTTTTAGTGGGCTTTCTTTACTTTCTCCTATAGTTTGTAGATTCCCTCCCTAATTTCATTGTAGTCTATAGAAAATGCAATTAAAAAATCCCCATCGGGGGGGCATAAAATAAAATAAAAGAAATGCCAGACAGGTGATGGGGGAAAGGCTTTGTTTTGAGATCTTGGCCCAGCCAAAAAGCGTAAATCAAGGGTGTCGAACATGAGGCCCGGAGGCTGAAACCGGCCCATCGAGGGCTCCTATCCGGCCCACGAGCAATTAATACGAGCAAGGGAAGGCAGGAGGCTGCTTGGGGGGGGGGGGAGTGCACAGGCACACACGGTGAGTAGTGTGTGGTCAAAGGTGTCAAGAAATTAAATGAAATGGCTAGGGGGCGGGTATGGTACCCCTTGGAAAAAACCTAGTCTTACATATGATTAAATACATTTATTGGGGCTTTTAGTGGATTCCCCACTAAATCCAGGGGTCATTTAGTAGAAAAAGAGGTGCAGGAGCGCATTAGCACAACTCATTATCATAACTTATTTGCATGTGCCACCCCCCCTGACATCACCGGAAGTGTGTCAGAAGGCAACACCACTGCTCAGGCTCCACTGGACTGTTTTGGATTGCTCGCTACTGGGTGGGGGACCGTGCAGATCTGTCCTCGCAGAGGAGGGAGAGCTTGTACCGGAATAAAACCTGGTCTTAAAGGTGCCACTGGATTGTTTTGGACTGGGGGGCTCTGCAACTTACCTGGGTGCTTCTTGCTCTGACTGAGGGCTGCTGGGAGCAGGGGGTGGGGCTTGTTGCATGTGCCCGCCCCCTGGGCTCTTTACTGCCGGAGCTCTGCTCCTGTGCGCTCCTGCAGGAGCGCTCAGACTATGGGTAGCAGCCAGTGTTCACTCTAAGCTGAGTTAGTGTGAGCTAGCTCACAGTTTTTCAGCCTCCAGCTCACACATTTTTGTCTTAGGAAGGATGGCTCCAGAGCAAACTAATTTATGCAGGAGCCAAATCGCCTGCTCACAACTTTAATGCTAGTAACTCACAAAGTAGAATTTTTGCTCACAGGACTCTGCAGCTTAGAGAGAGCATTACTAGCAGCACTCTCGAACACAATGGGGACTACTTCTAAATCTGCCTAGAATCAGGTTACACCCTGAACTGGGTGGAGAAGTGCCATTAAACTGCTTTAAATAAATCAATATTTCTTGGAAACGAACAGAATAGTCTTTACGGCACTGTTGTTTCCTGCCATCCACGTGCCACTTTTTGCGTGGTGCGGGGGTTCTTGGCACAGCCCGACCAATAGAACTGACCACCCTTTTAAAAACAGACAAGCTTGCTCAACTCTGTAACGCTTCTTTTCAAGCATCAACAGCACGGCTACGTCTCAATTCAACCTCCTGCTCAAAGCATACATTTGGGAGAAATCTGGGAGTGTCGTTTATATCTTTTCCAGTTGCTTCTTGCCATGATTAACTTGTTCATCCTCACTACAGAACTATCGGGGTCACGCACACCCCCATTTTAAAGATGGAAAGTTGAGGCCAGGGGGAAATGGTTCCTTGGGACGAGACATGCCGTCAGAACCTGTCTCACCCGAAGGATGAGTCCCAGACCTAGCCCTGAAAGCTCTGTGTCAGCTTTGGGATCGGAGGATAAATAATAAAGATGCCCCTGACCATGTGCAGAGAAATTTCCTGCCACAAGGAGTGACGGTATTCCTACCTTCTCAAGTGGCTTCAGTGCCAGCATCTCACTTTTCAGAAGTTACAACACTGAGAAGTTAACATTTGTGTGACTATTTGAACCCATGTCTTCTTGGACTATAGCAGCAGAAAAGAGCAAGAGTCCAGTAGCACCTTAAAGACAAAGACTGACACAAAGTTGGTGGCAGGGGGGGAGCTTCTGAAGAAGTGAGCCGGACTCACGAAAGCTCCTACCGGTCACCAATTTTGTGAGTCTTGAAGGTGCTCCTGGACTCTTGCTCTTTCCTACTGCTACGGACAGACTAACACGGCCACCCATCGATCTGTCTCCTTGGACTATGACCATTTCTTAATCCACTATAATGTTCCACCCTCCACCCCCCAATTCTGGAAAAATCTCATTTTTTTCGCGGCATTCCAGGTCCGTTGCAGAAGAATGAGAACTGTTCCCACTTAGTTCAGTTCCTCGGGGACAGACGCATTTCTGTGTGGCGTGACAGCCATTCCAGCTGCTGCTTTCTCTGCGCTCACGATTTGTAAATAAGCGATTATCAGCTCAGATACACCAATCGGCTTTGCCGAGCGGCCTTTTAATCCTCTGCAGTTGAAAACGAAGGAAACGAATGGACTGTCCTCCCACTTCTAGTTTTCCACTTTTGTATCATTGCAGGAAATTCCCTCTCCCTATATCTTTCTTTTTTACTTCAGTCTCAGCATTAAATTCTTGGCTATTACAGTGGGCAATGCTCCCTCAAAGCTGTGGAGTCTTCTGAGCAAAAATTCTACTTTGTGAGCGACTGGCATGAAAGTTGTGAGCGAGCAGTTTGGCTGCTGCATGAATCAGTTTGCTCTGGAGCCCTCCTTTCTGAGCTGAGACAAAAATGTGTGTGCCGGAGGCTAAAAAACTGAAGTATTTGAGCTTCAGTTTCATTATCTGGCCTTCCAGCTCACACTAACTCAGCTTAGAGGGAACACTGACAGTGGGTTTTATCTAGGCGAAAGAAAAATACCCTTGGGTCTCGCAAATGGATCAATTGGTTTACCTCATTCGTCCCCCGCCGTTCTTCCCTGTGGGGACGCAACGCAGCTAACGTTGCTCTCCTCTCCTACATTTTACCCACACAACAACCCTGTGAGGTAGGTTAGGCTGACTGTGTCTGTGTGTGTGACTTGGCCCGAGGTCACCCAGCAAGCTCCCAAGCAGAGTGGGGATTCGAATCCAGGCTGGCCAGATCCTAATCCGCTTTGAGTGTCAGTGAGAAGGGGTGTGTGTGCTATAGATAAAGTAAAATAACATAATGATGGCATTTCAACTAAACCTGACCATCGATATGGGTACTTACATGAAGCATACCTGTTCCGACGAGTACAGGTGACCAAACTGCACATTCTTATAGATGTTGGATGCTGACTCCAGACTGCCTTCAGCCGCTTGCCTAGACGTACTAAATCCAGTGCCTTCTTGCTTGCGAGAAATACCATTGTGGGTCAGCACCAAACCTCCCAGGGGATCTGCAGCCCAAGGAGCGAGCCCGTTAGCCCCAGAGTGCTGGAACGGTCAGCCACAAATGATCAGATTCAAAACAACCCAGGACAACCCAGTCCTGCTTACGAACCATTCTGGCCACACAGGGGCACACCCATTAAAAGAAAAAGAGAAAAGAACCCAAAACAAATAGTTAAATTTCAACTTATCCCTCAAGGCAGGATTCCGGTTGGCTGTCAGTTTTGGTGGAAGGGCCGGGCTAGTGAGCTGATGCCCACCTCCCCTTTCCTCTGGTTTTTCCCCAGACGGATTTGGCTCTGAGAAGGTCTCTCTCCCTCAGTGTGTCTCCGCAGCGTTGGAATCCTCCTCCGTGTTCTTTTAATGCTTTTGCAAGGTTTATTTTTTTAAAAAAAATCTTTTTAAATGATGGGGTTTTTTTTTAAACTTCCCAAGAAAAAGCAGTTTGTAGAGGGCAAGCAACAGACAAACCAAAACGATTCCAAAGAGATATGATAGGACGTGAGTGTTCTAGCTAGGGAGAGCCCTTGCAAGGTTGGAGACAGACAGCATCCATTAGAAGTGTAGAATCATAGAGTTGGAAGGGACCGCCACGGTCATCTAGTCCAGCCCCCTGCACAATGCAAGAACTTCACAAATACATCCCCCACACTCCCAGTGACCGCTGCTCCATGCCCAGAAGATGACAAAAATCGTCCAGGATCTCCAGCCAAACTGGCCTGGAAAAAAATGGCTTCCTGACCCCAAGGTGGTGATCAGCATTTCCCTGGGTATGTAAGGAAGGGCCAGAAGAACTAAGCACTGAGGCAACCCTTCCTTACCTCCCTCTCGTGATCTGCCCAAGTTCACAGAATCAGCATTGCTGACAGATGGCCATCGAGCCTCTATTTGAAAACCTCCCAAGAAGGAGAGCCCACCACCTCCCGAGGAAGCCTGCTCCACTGAGGAACCCCTCTAACTGTCAGGAAGTTCTTCCTAATGTTTAGCCAAAAACTCTTCTGATTTAATTTCAACCTGTTGGTTCTGGTCCATTGCTGCTTTTATAAGTCTGAACGTAGACAAACATTTTTTTAAAATCAGTATAAGTTTTAACATGGGTAAGGTAAAGGTTCCCTTGCTCGTTCCTCTGGTTTTTCCCCAGACGGACTTGGCTCCGAGAAGGTCTCTCTCCATCAGTGTGTCTCCACAGCGTTGGAATCCTCCTCCGTGTTCTTGTAATGCTTTTGCAAGGTTTATTAAAAAAATAAAAAACTTTTAAAATGATGGGTTTTTTTTTTAACTTTCCAAGAAAAAGCCGTTTGTAGAGGGCAAGCCACAGACAAACCAAAACGATTCCAAAGAGAGTTCGCAGTCCTATTTTGGGTTGAGTTTCCCCGCCCCCTTTTCCAGTTTTTGCCATTGCTGATGGAGTCTGCATACAATGATTACTGGATGTCTTTTACTTGTCTTCTCCCTTGCCAGGAGCTCTCTGGAGTCTTCTCATTTCACTTCAGTGCCGCTGCTGCATCTGGTGAACCTACACGAACACAAGAAGCCGCCTTATATTAAACCAGACCATCCGTCCTTCACTATTGTCTACTCATACTGGCAGCCGCTCTCTCCAGGGTGCCAGGGAGAGATCTTTCACATCACCTGCAACCTGATCCTTTTAGCTGAATATGCCAGGGATTGAACCTGGGACCTTCTGCAGGCCAACCTAGGGTTGCCAGGTCCCCCCGGTGACTGGCAGGAGATGGGGGCGTAGGGTTGCCAGATCCAGATTGGGAAACTCCTGGAGATTTGGGGGTGGAGTCTGGGGAGGGCAGGGACCTCAGTGGGGTACAATGCCACAGAGTCCACCCTCCAAAGCATCCATTTTCTCCAGGTGGACTGAGCTCTGTTGTCTGGAGATGAGCTGTAATTCTGGAGGGGGTGTGTGTCTAGACCAAGGACAGTCCCTCTCCCATTCTCAGGCCTTGGGGTTCTCACCAGGTCCTGGTCCTTTGCTGAGGCTTTTTGCCTCTGGGTTCCCTTCGAGGATGTAAGCAGACGCTCAGCAAATACTCCCGACACAGCAGATTAAAAACCGATTCTGCCTTTATTCAATCATTCAAGCAACAGAGCGGCTCACACATTTTTGTCCTAGCTCAGGAAGGATGGGGCTTCAGAGCAAACTGATTTATGCAGCAGACAAATCCCTCGCTCACAACTGTAATGCCAGCAGCTCACAAAGTAAAATTTTTGCTCACAAGACAGCACAGCTGAGAGGGAGCATTGGTGTTAAGCACTGTCATGTCATTTGACACTCATGGTGACCCACAATGATGATATTGAAATAAAACAAAGGCCTAGTGGCACCTTAAACACTAACAATATTGATTTCACGATGAGCTTTTGTGAATCCCAGTATATTTCTTCAGACAGGCGGAATAACCGAGAATCTTTGTTAAGGTGGAAGATTAAAAGTGGAAGGGGGGGGGTTTAAAGCAGAGGGTGGATTCCATCACAGATGTTTTAAGTGCAAATCCTGTGTGCAGAAAAATGGAGGTAGAAAGGTCAGGTGTGAATCCCATCCAAAAAATTTCAAAGTGTGAGCTGTGTGTGTATCTGAAATACAATTAGCCCTTACAAAGAAGAGATGGTAAAAGAGGTCAGAGGTTTGAATATATACATACGGAAGTGCCCTCAAGTCACAACTGACTTACGGGCACCCCAGCAAAGGGCTTTCAGGGCCAGTGAGATGCAGAGGTGGTTTGCTATTACCTTCCTCTGCAGAGTCTTCCTTGGTGGTCTCCCATCCAAGTACTGACCCCACTTAGTTCCCGAGATGTGGCAAGATCGGACGACACCCTTCTGCCTTCTCTCCTTGTGCACAGATCTGCCCTCACAGAGGAGGGAGAGCTTGTACCTGAAGGTGTGTGTGTGGGGGCTCTGCAACTTACCTGGTTGCTTCTTGCTCCTCATGGCCCAACTGAGGGCTGCTAGGAGCAGGGGGCGGGGCTTGTTGCATGTGCCTGCCCCCTGGGCTCCTTACTGCCGGAGCTCTGCTCCTGTGCGCTCCCGCAGGAAATGACTCCTGATACCACCAGTCACCAAGGCCTCAACGTATGTACGTACTCTCTGGTATCCCCCCCCCCCAGCTCGCTGGCAACCAGATAAAAGCATCATATGCCCTGGTCAAGGCCACCAGGTGCTTTTAATTAAGGCTTGGCCCAAACAGGCTGCAACGAACCTGTAAAAACTTACAGCTTGATCACACTTAATGAAAGCCTTGAGATCTGTAAGTTCTGGATCCTTACAGGGGGGCTCCCCAGGTCCCACCTGGAGGCGGGCATCCCTATGCAGCCATGCAGATGCTTGGCCAGTGAGCCGCAGCCCCTCCCCAAGTCCTTCTAGGCCACTTGCTGCCCCAGCTCTGTTTAATGCAAAAGCCGGCTTGCGTGGTCATTGGAAGCCACTGCAGGGGTTGAACCAAGGCCAGCAAAACCACCATTCAGAGGCTTGAGTTTCCCCCCCAGCTTTTTAGGCTAAAGGTGGAAGGTGCCACCAGAGTTTGTCTGAGCCAGCCAAGCAGCTTTGCTGAGTCAAGTCAGGCGATGGGGAGAAATCCTCCGATTGGTTTTGCACATGTGCAGGTTGGGGGCTGTTTGACACGTCTCCCGCTTGTGTCTCAAGCGCAGCACAAGTCCCTGTGCATGGAGTAATCGTGTGTCTTGCTTTGTGTCTGTGGACCTGTTTAGCCACGTGAACAGAAAGCAAGGCGGCAGTGAAGTATGCAGTGTTAGGGAAGGGAACTCAGCCAAGGTGTAGCTTTGTGTCTGGCCCCCCCGTTTCCCCCAGAATCTTCACAAAGCACAGATCCAGAGGCTGTTTGTGTGCTTGTGTATGTATATTGTCAAGTTTTGATAGTTAACCTGATGTACAGAGTCAGCGTGGTGTGGTCGTTAGACTAAGATCTGGGAGACCCACGTTCGAATCCTATAGAAGCTTACTGGGTGACCTTGGGCCAGTCATACACTCTGGCCTGACCTACCTCACAGGGTTGTTGTGAGGATAAAATGGAGGGGAGGAGAAGAAAGTAAACCACTTTGGGTCCCCCCTTGGGGAGAAAGATGGCATATAAATGAAATAAAACGTAGAACCGGTTCAGCTTTGTTGTGTAGATGCATTATCTGTATTCTCTTCCCCCACCCCCAATATCCTGAGAGCTAAAATGGATTTGCGATTGAACCTAACAGTGGTAGGAACTTGACAGAGCACAAAATTTCTCTATGACTTAATTTCTTGTCTTCCCCAGCTTTCTCACCTCCCCATGAATCCTCTTAATATATACTTTAAAAGCTTGTTCAATGGAACGTGGAAAAGAAGACTATTTCATAAGGATATGCCATTTCTGTTCCCCAGACATATAAACTGGCAATGGGCAACTAAGGCGTTTAAATTGTATTTTAAAAGTGCCTTTATACAGACCACGGAGCCCTGACTTGGAAGTTCCAGACTATCCCAGTCTCTTCAGATCTTGGGAGCCAAGACATCTCCGTCCTGGTTAGTACTTAGAGGGCTGCAACAGGGTGTGTGTTAAGCAGTGTTCCCCCTAAGCTGAGTTAAGTGTAGCTGGCTCACAGTTTTTTAGCCTCCGGCTCACACATTTTTGTCCTAGCTCAGGAAGGATGGGGCTTCAGAGCAAACTGATTTACGCAGCAGACAAATCCCTCGCTCACAACTGTAATGCCAGCAGTTCACAAAGTAGAATTTTTGCTCACAAGACTGCACAGCTGAGGGGGGAGCATTGGTGTTAAGCACTGTCATGTCATTTGACACTCATGGTGACCCACAATGATGATATTGAAATAAAACAAAGGCCTAGTGGCACCTTAAACACTAACAATATTGATTTCACGATGAGCTTTTGTGAATCCCAATATATTTCTTCAGACAGGCGGAATAACCGAGAATCTTTGTTAAGGTGGAAGATTAAAAGTGGAAGGGGGGGGGTTTAAAGCAGAGGGTGGATTCCATCACAGATGTTTTAAGTGCAAATCCTGTGTGCAGAAAAATGGAGGTAGAAAGGTCAGGTGTGAATCCCATCAAAAAATTTCAAAGTGTGAGCTGTGTGTGTATCTGAAATACAATTAG